TTCCATTACAGCAATATCTTTATCTGTAACAAACTTAATATTTTTCTCTATCAGTATGCTAGCTTTATTCCATACCAGAACTTTTCAGCTGACCCTCGTAAAGCACACATTTTTCTGCGGGTGTTGAAGATATACAAATATTCCTGAGTAGGCATCTGCAATGGGGATTATCTAGCAGATGGATGTAATCAGAAAAGAGCAACCAGATGCTATTATATATATTAGCATATTTGTGTGTTTTAAGAACTTGACACTATGATAAAATATTGTTCGTTGTTTGTAATTTGCATCATAACTTTGTTTCTGCTGCATAAGTTTTAAAAAGCTGTGTCATGTCTAGACATCACTTCTTTCTGTAATAATTTTTAAAAAAATAAAAAAAGCTGTCTTTCTCACTTAATTGAATATTTCCCAAATATTGAACAGCCATATTTATGAAGGTTAGGAACCATTTCCAATTTTAAGTTTATGAAATGTTCCTATTTATTTTGCCTCTTAATATAGAGAGACATTTATTGAAAGCCTAACAAATGAGTTTTTAAAAATTTCTATGGCTTCTCTAAAACTTACAAGAGAATCAATGGAAAATGATAATCAAATAAGGACAAAGAAATTGACAAAAATAAACAAAACAAAAGAAAATAATTCCAGAAAACATAGCCCATTTATAATATCCCACAATGCAAGGCAGCATTCTTGAAGAATGACTTTATAATAAACTGACCAAATTTTAGCAAAAGAAAACAAAGAAGAATGCATTTCTTAAAATATTAATTACATCTTCTGTCTGCCGTGTCCCTTCAGGACATTGGCAATCATAATTCTCCACAATTTCCAATGCTTTGTAGCTCTTAATTTTTTGTCTTTTTTCTCACCTAAACCCTGTTCTGCCATAAATTTATTCAAGCTTGCTAGGTAGGTTATGTTGTTTTCCACTATCTCTCTTGCCTTCAATCTATCCTGTGAGTATCAAATTTTTCAAGCACTTTTTCCTCATTAAGTATAAGTGACCTTTTTGTTTTCACTCTAAAACTTTGTTGCTCACATATTTCTGTATACCCACCTTTCTGCTGCTTCAAGTTTCTTCATCTGTGAGGATATTGTCCAGCATTCACTGACATATAAAGTTCAGTATGCTTTTGTTTGTTACAAATGACATTGTGCTGTTTCTTTATACTTTGCTTAGCTTTTGGAAGGCATATTTTGCCTTCCCAATATGACTTTGGATTTCAGTGTCACACTTTTTATCCTCTGTTAAAACACATCCCAGTTATTAAAATTGTTGGAATTGTTTGATTTTGGTATGTCTAATTTGCATGTTGGACTGTTCTTTTTGCTAACAGCCATGGATTCTGTCCTCTTGCAATTGAGGTTTAGTCCTTTCTTCTTGCTTTCCTTTATTACCTTCTGCAGGAGTCCCTGTAGATATCTTTCTGTGATTGACAATTATTCTTAGAATTTCTGAAAAAAATCTGCTTAGCATTTACCATATTTACGTCAGTCAAGACGAATCCAATGTATCACCTTGAGTTCATCCCATTTATAATATTTCTATAATGCAAGTCATCAGTTAATAGGATTCTGTATGATCACTGAAGGTAAGCAACATTGAACCTGGTCAGTACCTAGATGGGTGACTACTTGGGAATACCAAGTGCCATAAGCTTAGATGTGCTGTTATGTGTAACAGATAATAGCTTAGAATTGTTAATTGTTGAGCTGTGTTCCAATTCCAGTTGAGTTCATTATATTCACTTATGTGCAAATACTCTTGGTTAAGTTACGAATCCAATTCTTTTCTCCCTGCTAGCTCTGCATTAATTAGATTTGTATCACTAAACCACTATTATTTTTTTTTAAATCCTGTAGGATCACCAAAGTTAGGCAACACTGAGCCTGGTCAGTACTGAGCTGGGTGACTGCTGGGAAATACCAGGTACTGTCAGCTTGGATGTGCAGGTGGTGTAGTGGATAATGACTCAGAATTATTAACTGGAGAGCCAAGTTCCTGTTTTCTTGGTTTCATTATATTTACTTATGTGCAAATACCCTTGGGAAAGGTATGAATCTACCCCTTCTCCACCTATAGTTATGGGTTTAGTAAGACTTGTATAACTAAAAAAAAAAAATAATCTCCAAAAAAGAAAGAACATTCTTAGAATCTAAAAATATTTTCTGGCTTTAAATAACCTGTAAATGGTTGATAAGATGCAGAAAATGAATTTATCAATTAAAGTAATAACACCAATATAAAAATTCCCCTTGAGTAATATTTTGATAATATCAAGTCTTGACCAAGACTTAGATAAAAAACCCCAAAAAAACAAAAAAACAAACAGATACTTCCTAAAATATTAATTACATTTTAATCTTAAAATTTTGGAAAAAATCTGTTCGCCATGTTTACATTAGTCCTTGAGATGAGAAACAATAACTTAATCTCTACATTCTATTAAATAACTTAAACAATTAATGGATTTTAATCTTGCATTATTTTATTATTATAAACGTCTTTTGATTGGATACTCACTCTTGAGTAGACAGTGGTTGTCAACTGTTGATGATTTAGACAGTTCTGCATGAGTTGGGTGCTATGTATGACATCCATATGAGAGCCTAGATATGAGGAGACTATTTAGCACCCTCACTAGAACAGCCTATTTTATATTCAATTTCCTTATCTCCTATACTAAATTTGCTGTAATTCATCCTAACACTGAGGTATTTGAAGTGTTTAATATTAATTCTACATCCTGAATATTTATGATGGAGTCAGGGTATATGCGGTTACGGCTTTCATATCATAGAATGTATAGCTTGATCCAGCATTAAGAGAGTTAAATTTGACCTCTTTATGTCAACCAGCTTATATTTTAATGATCACAGTAGCTGCCAAGTCAGACCAGAAATGACTACAATTTTCTCTTTAAAATGACACTATAGCTGGAGATACAGGAAGAATAAATCATATACTACAAGCTTGGAATAGATCATTCGAATATTGCGTCTGATCGGCTTGGAAAACTTCCAGCCAACATTGGTTTTTCTGATGCCTAAAAATACACTGAGGAAATTGATACTGTTCCACCATGAATAGTGGTACATTTCGCCTTCAAAGAATGGCAGAAGATCTCAATGGGGGTGAAAAATTGTCCAAATACTGGAATATTTTATCTGGCACCAGAGATCATTTGCAAAGATGTGCTTTCATTTTATAATCAATCATATGGTGATTTTTTATAAGCAAGATATAGCACAAGGCCGAAAATATGGGGCACCCAGTGAGGATTGAACTCACTCATAACTGATCTATCAAAATAAACTTGCTAACTATTACACTGCATGAATATGCCCTTACAATAAAATCATATGATCAATCAACATGCCACACACATACAGATATAATTATTATGAAATAGATTAAGTCTGACAACTGTTTAATATATTTTATGCTTATACATTATTTTAATAGATACAATTTATTTATATAAATGCTGTTTCTTAATTAAACAGTATTAATTACATTTGCTGGCCTGAATGTTTAAGAAATTTCATAGAAAATATGCATTCTCCAACAAGAATCGAACCTGTGTCCTATACAGAACTGTCATTTGATCTGATGTAATCTGTGTTTCGATCTTTTTTTAAAAAACATTAATTTGGACTTTGCTAACCATACACTTCTCTATAACTAAATGTTATTGCCTGTCATATCAAATGACAGTTCCATATAGGACATGGGTTTGATTCCTGTTGGAATTCATCTTTTCTATGAAATTTCTTAAACATTCAGGCTGGTGAATGTAATTAATACTATTTAATTAAAAAAAAACAGCATTTACTCAAATTGTATCTATTAAAATGACGTATAAACAGAATATATATATATATATTATAATTATTTTTTTTTAAATATGTATTCGTTGCGACACAGAAATTACCATGTTTCAAAACCAAAACCTAAATCTTAAATTAATTTAAAACTTAGGTTCTGGTTTTGAAACATGGTAATTTCTGTTGTGATGAATACATATTTTTTAAAAATAATTATAATATAATGCACTACTGTGTATCGGGCACTGTTTTTAAAAATAAATGCTAAAGAACTTTGGATTATAAATCTGACTGTTCTTTCTTTTTATTTTGATATATATATATATATATATATATATATATATATATATATATATATATAATGACAAAAGAAAACACCAAACATTTTAGGAATATTGTTGATCCAATCTGCTTTCCACATTTTTGAGGCCAAGTGATCAAACCCCTTTTTCATTTTATGAATATTGTATTTAGTGAATAAATGTGCTTGAGTAAACATCTCTGCTTTTCTAAATAATGTATTTGACATGTACTGGATTAGGATTACAATCTTAACCTCTTCAAGTCAAAGGTCAGTCACTATCTATCCTTCTTATCCTCATAATCTTCATTTCCTTCTACTTCCTTTTGTGTTCATATCACACGTCTCATTCAGTAACCCTGATCCAGGAGTTGAGCTTGTTTACATGAACTTTAGTATAAAGAACAAAAAAATTACTTTCAGAAAAATATATAAGATGACAGTGTATATGTATATTGTTTTTGTTTGGACCTTTTCAAGTGCTAATGACTTTAAGATTAGATCTGGATGATTTAGAAGTTTTTCTAAGCATCTTTTAAACTCTTCATTTCTATAATCAAATCAAGCTCTCTGTCTGTTGTCCTTGCTTGATAGGATCACTCGTGTAATTCGACCAATCAGAAACAAGGATCTCTGTGTGGGCCTCCTATCTGATTTGACAAACGAACTGTATTTTCTTTGAAAGCTTCTTCCAATTTTCCCATACTTGACAATTTGGTTTAGAGCAACCTTTACTGAAAATCAGATCTACATTTACACCTATTCTTTATTTTAATTTCTGAGCTTCAGCTTATGCAATCAAAGACAGATTGTTTGGTAAGATAATCTGGTAGAAGATGGTTTCAGATGAAGAAGAAGCAGGCAAATGTTTCCCTCTACATCCTCCAAGCCTTCTCTGGTCTGCAATTAGCTTGTCCCCTAGATTTTTAAAAGATGTATTTTTTTTCTGTTATTAGTTTTATTGCTTTTCAATGTTCTTTTAATTTAAAATTTTGTAACAGTAAGTTATTGCTTCCCATCAACAAATCTTAATTAAGCTTTTGGGGGAAAATAAAATTTACAATTTTGATTTTTACTAGGAATATTTTTTTCTGTCTTTATATTATAAAGTCAGGTTATTTGTGATAATTGTTTTAAAAAATTTCTGTTTCTGTTGTAAATAAGAGTGGATTAAATTCCTAAAGAGACATTTCAAATTATCTACACTGATTTCCAATTATTTTTCTGTTCTTTTAATCTTCATTGACATGAGAAATCTATTTTCCTGAAAAAAAAAAAAGGAGATTTTATAAATTTCAACTGCTGCTCAGTCAATGAATGCCAAATGTTTCCTTATAAGGAAATGATTATTATTACCATTATAATTTGCTAAAATTCATATATCGACTATCTTCAGCTAAATTTCACTTATTCTCATTTTCAGAATGAAAAATATTTGTGTGGAAGGAGATAAATAGTTCTCAAATTTTTTTAATTAAAAACAATTAACAAAAGAAATTAGTGTTTTCTATTGATTGATAATGAACATTTTTTTAAATTTATGAGTTAATAGCTTTAAAGCTTCATGTGCAGTGTGTGGCTATTAAGGTAGCACCTGTAGAGGGCTAATTGGGCCTCTGGCCAAAAACTAAAGAGACCTCTGATTCACCTTAGAAAACAGCAATGATAATTTTGAAGAAATAACTTTGAATTCCTCAATTCACTACATGGAACTTAAAAACCTCACTTTAACTCTGGCTATAAGTTCAATTCAGACCAAAAGACTGATTTGGGCCAAAATTCCATTTCAGGCTGACACGGAGTTCTTCAAGTCGCAAACTTTGTGGAACTTCAGATCATGAAATTTCTTACTTTAACTCAGATTACTTGGAATTTTGAAGGAATTAAATTGATTTCCTCAATTCATAAAGTTTTGGAAATATTTTAAACTGAATTTTAAAAAAAATTATATTCACAAGCTTTTTGTGTTACTTTAATCTTAATATAGATTAAAAACTTTTAAAATGAGTAATTTTTTTCAGTTATTTTAAAATATGAATTTTTAACTGTTCCTTCCTCATCCTGAGACAAATCCCAATACTGAATGTTCAAGCACCAGATGAGAGGCAGATGTTCAATCCCTGGATCATCCTGATTCCCAAAACATATAATATGTCTATGTAGAGCAAGTGTGCTCGAGTTAGAGGAGTTTCTGACACATAGGCAGAAAGACAGAATTTGCTGTTTATTTAGATTTAAATTAAAGGTAGTCAGAATGGTACTTTACATTGTTTGATAAACAATATCTATATGAATAACATATTGTAAAGTAAAAACTTTTAGATGTGTAGATAATCTTTTAGGGTTAAGTTCAACATTCCAACCACCTGAAGAAGGCTGGAGCATACAACGGCCGAAACGTTGTAATAAATATGGCGACAAAGATGAGGATAATAGTCCGAATAATGTAAATAGTATACATAATACCTCATCTCAGAAATACAGACAGATACTAGATAATCTTTGTTCAATGCAATTTGACTACTGCTCATATGTGATTTCCGATCATTTCTTTTGTTGTTGAGGTTTACTGCTATATCACATTGAAACACTGTTTCCTGTATGTTCACTGCAGTTAAGCAACATCAAGCCTGTTCAGGACTCAAATGGGTGACCACTTCAGAATACCAGATGCTTTAATCTTGGATGTGTATAATATATAATGTCTCGGAATTGAAAATCATAGAGCCGAGTTCCGATAACTGTCATAGGTCCTTACCTATAACTACAGAATGAACTCTTCCTAACACTATGTATACTATGCCTCTGAAGAGAGAGGGTCGAACTGAGTCGAGCCGATAGTAATTCACTACGAACCAGACTGACAGTCATACTAACACCTTCCACATCTTGTATTATTATTTTGTGTAATATACCTTTGTTATTTCTACTCTTGTGTTTGTGTTGTTCTTCCTTGGTCCTAACCTGGACCATAACAATAACAATTGGGTTTATTACATTCACTTATGTGCAAATCTCCTTTGGAAAGGTGTGAATCCACATATTCATCCCAGCTATGGGTTAATTAGTAAGACTCGCATCACTAAATCATTATTCCTCCCCCCCCCAAAAAAATCTTACAATCTAAAAAGATTTTCTGACTTTAAATAACCTGCAAAGGGTTGATAAGCCATAAAATACAAATTTATCAGTCAGTCATTCATAGTTGCATAGACTGTTGGAGAACACTATAGTCACCTTCTACCACACATATTTAAATAAAAGCTAGTCTAAATATTGCTTTTTATAGAAATAAAATAAATTTTTTTACCTTTTTGCTTATAATCTCAAATGTAGATAATCAGATATATTGATTTACCTTTGTGTTGTTATTAATAAACTAATTACATTTTTGTGGGGAGATTTATGCTGCCTGTGATGAAATGCTTAAAATAGTGCTTCTTAATTTATGAAATTAATAGTTAAACAGCAGATTAATAATTTTCAAGTTGAATGACATTATGGAATTTTTGTTTGTCCTCAACAAAGATCATAGCAAGTGTTCAAAATCTCTAATATCGATATCACAAACTTTTATCAACAATATTCAACAGTTGATAAATTGATTTCTTTCTGAATTCTGAAATTACTAAAGTGAAACAATAAATATAAAATTTAATTTTGAATTGAAAAAATGAAAAGTAAAAGAAAAAACAGACATGGGAATTCTACTGATAATAAAACTAATGATAACACTTGAGAAAATTTCACTGAAAATAAATCTTTTTTTTTTTTTTTTTACCCAAACTGTCATTGGTTTTTGTCACATTTTAGAATTTCTATTGTCATGACTTATTTTGTCAGTGATATTCAAAAAAATTTTTCTGCCTGCTTGTCAGTCTTGCAAACATGAGTGCTATGATAGGCAACAGTGAATTCTTCATTTTTTCCTCCTCCTTTTCTTCTCTTTTTCTCTTTCTTCCTCTTCCTCCTCTTCCTTTTCTCCCTCCTCCTTTTCTTCTCTTCTGCTTCTTTCTCCTCTTTTTCTCTTTCTCCCTCCTCCTTTTCTTCTCTTCTGCTTCTTTCTCCTCTTTTTCTCTTTCTTCCTCTTCCTCCTCCTCCTTTTCTTCCCTTCTGCTTCTTTCTCCTCTTTCTTCCTCTTCCTCCTCTTCCTTTTCTCTTTCTTTCTCTCTTTCTTCCTCTTCCTCTGCTTCTTTCTCCTCTTTTTCTTTCTTCCTCTTCCTCCTCTTCCTTTTCTCCTTCTTCCTTTTCTCCTCCTCATTTTCTTTCTCCTCCTCCTCTTCTCCTTCCTTTTCCTCCTCTCACTTTTTCCCCCTTCTCCTTCCTTTTCTTCCTCCTTTTCTTCTTCTTCTTTCTTTTTTCTTCTTGTTCCTCATCACCACCACCACCATTTACCAAGTCTGTCATCTAAAACCCAAGATAAAGGTTTTTCAGAAATTCATACACAGATGTCCTCAAGGACACATGGCACAGTGGACAAAGGCGTTGGTTAGATCCACTGACAAGACCCAAAGAGTGTGAGTACCCAGTTAAGGCAGTGGAGAATTGTCAATACCCAGTTAAGGCAGTGGAGAATTTTCAGAGGGAAATTAACAGGAGATAACTGATAACTGACATCCATTAAACATGGCATGTGGAACTAGAACAGTCTACCCCATTGAGTGAAATAAAGGGTTAAGTATGACATTCCAACCATCTGAAGAAGGCCAGAGTGTACAACAGATGAAACAGTGTAATAAATATGGCAGAAAAGATGAGGACAATAGTCCAAATAATGTAAATAGTATACATAATACCTCATCTCAGAAATACAGACAGATACTAGATAATCTTTGTTCAATGCAATTTGACTACTGCTCATATGTGATTTCCGATCATTTCTTTTATTGTTGAGGTTTACAGCCATATCACATTGAAACACTGTTTCCTGTATGTTCACTGCAGTTAAGCAACATCAAGCCTGTTCAGTACTCAAATGGGTAACCACTTTGGAATACTAGGTGCTTTAATCTTGGATGTGTATAATATATAATGTCTCAGAATTGAAAATTACAGAGCCAAATTCCGATAACTGTCATGGGTCCTTACCTATAACTACAGAATGAACTCTTCCTAACACTATGTATACTACGCCTCTGAAGAGAGAGGGTCGAACTGAGTCGAGCCGATAGTAATTCACTCCAAACCAGACTGACAGTCATACTAACACCTTCCACATCTTGTATTATTATTTCGTGTAATATACCTTCGTTATTTCTACTCTTGTGTTCGTGTTGTTCTTCCTTGGTTCTAACCTGGACTATAACAATAACAATTGGGTTTATTACAATAGTCTGAATAATGTAAATAATAAGGTTTTTCTTTGGAACTTATTGAAAAAGGGTTTCAAAACATAGGTGCGTCACTCATTATCATGAACTTTTGTGTACAGCAGCATTGCACTGACATATAAATTCCCTATAATCCTCTTGAGTATATTTTAGCCCTTTTTATCTTCCCTTTGGTCATTAGTAGATGTTGGTTTAGGTGGACCATCATTTACACAATCTTTTATGTAAAATAAATAAAAAATGTATTTCCTAGGGGTTTTCTTAAGATACATGTTATAAAATAGACATACCAAGTATGAAAACTTAAATATTTGGGAAGTGTATTAACAGAAGACAGGAAATGTGACATTGAAGGTGCAATAGAATAACAAAAGATGCCTACCCAAAAGCTAAGTTAAATATTAAGAAACAAGAAAATTTTATTAGAAACAAAGAAAAGAGTACTGAACTGTTACATGATATCTGTCCTGTTAGATGGCACCGAATGCTGGACAATCTTCACACAGATAAAGAGAAGTGAGGTAACAGAAATGTGATTATAAAGAAGGATGCTAAGTAAAAACTGTTCGAATGACAATAGAAATAACGACTAAGTAATGACTGTTCAAATAACAATAGAAATAATGACTAAGTAATGACTGTTTGAATGACAACAGAAATAATTAAGTAATGACTGTTCAAATGACAACAGAAATAATGACTAAGTAATGACTGTTTGAATGACAATAGAAATAATGACTAAGTAATGACTGTTCGAATGACAATAGAAATAACGACTAAGTAATGACTGTTCAAATGACAATAGAAATAATGACTAAGTAATGACTGTTTGAATAATGAAATAATGACTAAGTAATGAAATGGCAACAGAAAATAATAATGACTGTTCTAATGACAGAAATAATGACTAAGTAATGACTGTTCTAATGACAACAGAAATAAGTAATGACTGTTCTAATGACAACAGAAATAACGACTAAATAATGACTGTTCTAATGACAAATAACGACTAAGTAATGAATGACAACAGAAATAACTAACTAAGTAATGACTGTTTGAATGACAAGAAGACTAAGTAATGACTGTTCGAATGACAATAGAAATAACGACTAAGTAATGACTGTTCAAATGACAATAGAAATAATTTTTGTATTAAAGTTCAAGGATAATGGTCAGGGATAATTTGGGGTACAATGCCATCTGCTGGTGTTGGTCCACTGTATTTTATCAAGTCTAAAGCCAGTGCAATTGTTGTCCAGTAGATTTTAGAGCACTTTATACTTAAGTCTGCTGACAAGCTTCGAGATAGGGATTTCATTATCCAGCAGATCTTGACACCAACTGACAGTGTGAAAACTGCTCAAAACTGGTTTATATCCTATGTTGTTTCTGTGTAATTATCCAGAAAACTTGCCTGAGCTGAACCCCATACCAAATCTATGGGGTATTGACAAGAGAAAGATGAGACACCAAACCCAATAATACTGACAAGCTGAAGCAACTCGGACTTCCATAACATATTAGCCATACCACAGGCTATTTGTTTCCATGTCAGGTAGCACTGATGCAGTAAGTAACAAGAAAAGAACCCCAACCAAGTATCAAGGCCTTCTCTATTAAATCATTTTTAATTTTTATTTTTTATTTTATTGATCTTATGAAATATTCTAATATTTTGAGATAGTGGATTTTTAATTTTCATGAGCTGTAAGTATCAAAATGAAAGTAAGGAAAGGCTCAAAATATTTCAGTTCATGTTTAATGAAACTAGAATATCTGAAAGTTTCACTTTTTAAATTAAATTATGAAAAAAAAATTCACTTTTACACACACACATATATATATATATATATATATATATATATATATATATTTATTTATAAAAGGCTCAGACACTAATATTCCATGGTTATAATTTATTACATTGGAATCATAATCACAATCTAATTCATCAGACCTACAAATATATTCATGCTCTGTCCTAGACACTCAGCTCTACCTGGATTCTATCTTCTTGGAAATAATGTACCACTAATATTATCTTTCCAGAGCAAATATTCTGGTAATCCTCATTCCTTAATTTCACCAGTTCTGACCCATCATACCATCCTCATACCTTTCATATTCCATTAGTAAGGAGGAAGATGCCCTAAGACAGGTTCTTCCCTTGAACTATTACTTTCTCTGAAGAGGATGTTTTGGCCCTTGTACTGAACAAAAAACAAAAAAATTGAACCAATGATTTTAATATGATTTTCTAATTAGTAGCCATTATGTAGCAGCAGAAAACCAGTGCTAATGATTTTTATCTAATTTCTTGCTTCTAATGTATTACATGGCAAAAGAATTGAATCCATTAGGTAGACTTCAGATGTAGACCTCAACATTTCTAATTCAATGTCCTGATTATTCCTCTTTCTAAATAAACTGAATGTCAAGTCTAGGGCTAACGATTCTCTTTCTTACATAACCTCAAAATTGCTTTTTGTGTTAAACTACTAAAATTTAAAAAAATGACACTGGACTAACTAGAGTTTGTATTGGACATACAAGACTAACTTATGTACACCTAAGAGCTGAATATGTATCTTGATGCAACTACTGCAATCATAGATCCACAGTTAAGCAAATTCTGATTGAATGTAAAAGCTATCAGCTTACACGTAAGTACTACAATGTCATATAGCAATTTTAAACTCTTTTAAAAATTAAACAGATTAAACAATCTATTTAAAACAAATTGTAGCTACCAAACTGAGCCATTCCAAATACTGGAACAAGGCAAATTGATTGTTTGATGTGTTTTTTAAGAAAATATTTTTACATTGTAAGAATTTTTATTTTTTTGCAATAGTAATGGTTTAATATTATATCTTACTAATTAACCCATAGCAGGGGGAGAAAGGTTGGATTCACATCTTTCCCAAGAGTATTTGCACATAAATGAACATATTGAACTTGACTGGAATTAGAACTTGGATCTTTGATTAACACTCTCAAGCCATTATCCATTACATTACTTGTACATACAAGCTTACAGTATTCCCAAGTGGTCACCTATCAAGATATTGACCAGGCTTGGCATTCCATTATTTCAGTCATCATTTGGTAACCAGTGTTTCAACAACATGTGGATGTAAGACAGAAGAAAGGAAAATAAATATATATATATATATATATATATATATAAATAAATAAAAAGAAAGAACACTAAGATATATAATCTGGTGTTCTTATAGATATTTTAATTTTTTTATTCCATTTTTGAAACATGGTTAGAACTGTGTAGCGAAAAAAACATTTTAAATCAATTAATTTATAATATATATATATATATATATATATAGAGTTAGGTAATGAAATGTTTGGTAATCTGTATGGATAATCCCAAGGAGGATGTAATCCAGAGAGCTCAGTGTAAAACCAGAGTAAATATTAATTTAAATAAAAAAAAACAGACAACCTTAAGGGTCCATTGATTATATTTTATTTCCCCAGGAAAGTGATTTTTTTCTGGTTTCTCTGACCACATTTCCAAGCATAAAAAAAAAATGTTCATTTTATGAAGCTTATTCAACAACTTTCTATCTGGAGTACTCCTTTGGACTTGTACTGGGTTATGTCAACATCTAAAGTGCTGTAAGTGATGTAACCATGGGCAAATTGTCCAAAATCAGAGCAGTCCATGGCAATGTGTCATGTTCCTGTCTTGTTTGTTCAAACCATTGTAATATTTCCCGAGGAGTCCATTATTTATAGGAACCATTCTGTGCTATTTACTTAAAAGAAAATGAAATGAAGAGATGGTTTCATACCTTTCCCAATGGTATTAGCATGGAAGTGAATGTAACTTGACTGGAATTCAAACTTGGCTCTGTTTCCTCAATACAAGTTGTTATCCATTGTTCTACATTGCTTCCATTTGTGTGTGTATTTATAGAATATCTACTGCATTCATTGTTGTTGTCTGATAATTCATGATCATGAGAGCCATAATCTATTAGGATCAAAGGCTCACCACATGTACCACAATAGCAGTGGTGTGTACTGTGCAAGATAGCCTGAGAGAGAACATCACTCT